AGTCGGCGCAAGATTGCAAGATTCTCTCCTACCTGGTCGGGTACTAGATCCCCCCAACGCACAACAAGGAAGACCTCAGTGTTCTGAATCCTGAGATCCTCAAACTCCCACAAGCTGAGCATTATTGCAACATCTTCCCGCATTGCCGTCATCAGTTTCCTCGAGTTATTCAGCTGCTCGGGGTAGTCGAAATTCTCAGCAATGTGGGTCAAACTTTCCATCTGCTTGTCAAACTCGTCCAAATCTGCCGTGACCCCCGCAATTCTCTCCATGGCGAGTTCAAGTCCAGACTTATAAAAGTAGTATGCCTCCTTCTTGAGACCAGCCTGATACTCTTTGAGACCTTCCTCGAACTCCGCGATTTTGGCCTTGTAAATATCAGATTCTTTCTGAACCATCGGGGCTATCTCCTTTTCCTTGTGCTTGCATGCTTCCTTCACAGTTGCCAGAGAGTCCCAAGTCTTCCTTAATGCTTTCAAGGCCTTCTCGTTGGGCAGGCCTTCCCTCTCAAGTGCCTATCATTCAAAATCATACTGCCACACTGACAACGTCATTTCTTGCATTTTCAACAACGACTACTCGCAAAGAGTAGTCAAGACGAAGCTCCTCCCCACACAATGAATTTGCCTCATGTACGACATACAGGAGTAGCCACGGAACATTCATGTAGGTAAAGAGAGCGTATAAGTTCGACTCCTTCACTGTGACCCATTTTATTTAAGCATCATTTCAGCGAGGAATGGTATCCCAACTTACCCCTAAGGACTCCAAAACCTCATCCTGCTTCAATATCAGTCTCTCCTCTTCCTCGTACATAGTCTTTATATAATTCTTCACTTTAATCAGCGACTTCACGTCTCCAGCGTTCAGCTTAATATTAATACCAGCATCAGTCGCCTTGAAGAACTCCTCCAATTCCTTCACACTCTTTGTGATAAATCCGACAACGAGCGGCCCAGCGTACTCGTTAGCTCTCGGCTTAGCCGTTTCACAGCAAGTAGCCGTGAATGGCGAGCCTCTGATTGGCTGCTCCTTGTCGTTCTCATCGATGAGATTCACTCTAACGGTAATGTCGCCCCCACCAGCCTTGGCAGTATAGGTCACTTCATACCGTCCATTGTCGAAATCGTGGAAGCAAGTGCTCTCATCGTAGAGCTCCTCACCGTCTTGCATCACCGAAATCACAAACTTGTCAGCCCCAGAGGTTCGATTCTCCCCGAGGTTATTTCTCCCTTGTATTATAAACCTGTTCTCCTTACCCGCCTCCCCATCATTCAAAAGACCAGGACCATAACAAAGCGACTTTTCAGCTATCGTGTTGAGATAGTAATCGTAGTGTGTTACCGTAGTCGTGAAATCTTTCGCCTGAGACAAGGAACAGCAAGTCAAACCGCACATCCTAGGAAACGACCAACCCACAGTACTAGAATAGTTCGTAGTGGATATACCTCATCAAGACATAATAATATCAATTACACATCTATTCATAGATGTTGGAGTTACACCCGTTTTACGTGAAGTGACGTAACACGATATTCGCGCTATGCGGTGCTTTTCGAAATATGTTTCACACTAGCGTTTTTATATCACGGGTGAAACTCCATCATATGCAATATTTGATATGAAGTATGCATTAATATAAATTCACCTATCATAATCATGATATATATAAATAATATAACATCAACAGTGTAATCCCTGAGGATAGAGCATTTCCACACTGCCCCCACACCCCACTTACCCCAATAGCGAATCTAACCTCGCATCTCTTAGGCCCGATGGTCTGTATAACAGCAGGGGTCAGGCATTCAATGGTATTATCGTCTACTACTGTACCTACCGTCACGCGCCACGAAATTATCATCACAGTCGAGGATGCTGCAATGAACCTCACCAATAGAATCAGCAGTGTGCTTGGCAGTGGAGAAGCGCACTGTCACCGTGCCTTGAGCACTAGTAGCACCGACACAACGAATACGGAGGAGCTGATTGCCAGTAACAGGACCTAACACACACACGCAGGTTCGATCCCCGCACCCTACATTTCTCATTACCAAGAGCTGGCTCCACCTTCGCGATAGCGTAAGGTGGCCCTACAATGGAGCTCACGTTAATCTG